TAAAATTGATCAATTTGATGGGAAGAATATTTCAAGGTATTTAAGATGTTATGTTCGTGAAATGGAATTAGATCGGGTTTCTGAGAAGAAAATGGTTGAATTATTTGGACTTACCACGATATCGGAGATAAGAGACCACATTACATCGATTACGAATCGTTATGGGAATTCATGGAAAGTTCTTTCACATGCATTGAAAGACGAATATTTCTTGGAAGATGCTGATCGCGTTACTAAGAAGCAGTTCTTGGAATGGATTGAACGGCCCAATAAGAATTTGCAAGCAACAGAGCTACTAAGGGAATTTGAGAGGCAGTACTCTCAGTTGTCGAAGGTAGAAAAATTGACATTGGAGCCGTATAAAGTTGATCTATTTCTTCAAGCTGCTGATGGAGAATTGCAAGAGAAATTAGAACTCTTTCTTGAAAACAAAGAAGAAGATGAAGGATTGACAACAAAGTGGAAGAACGCTAAAGATGCGATGGGATTGCTTAAAAAAAGAGAAAGGAGGAAGGATAGGAGCAATATTCCAAAAACAGTATAAGCACCCAAAGCTCCAGTACGTACAACACCACCAACAATGCCTACACTTCAACCTTCAACATCTTTATCGAAGAAAGCAGATATGGAGATGGAAGAAATTATACGAGGAATGCGAGATCTTCAAATCAAATTAGCAAGACTTGAAGAGAATACTTCTATAAACAATTCAAAGAATGTTTCAAAATAAGAATATGTACAAAGATGCATTTGGTGTGATGACGCTTCACACACTATAAAAGATTGCAATGAATTTAATAATATGATACGGCGGGGAATTATTTGCTAGAAAGATAGGAAGATAGCATTGAAAGATAGGGAGGATCTTCTTCAAACCAATTTTGGCAAGGGAGGAATGAGAGCATTGGTTCAAGATTACTTAAAAGAGCATGAAACAATAGTACGAGAAAGTGCAAGTTATGGTGCTAGAGTAGATGATGAAATTGGTGGAAGTACGGAAACTAGTGAGTTTTGGGTTTCTGCCGTTTCTACAATGCAAGAAGGAAAATTACCTCGAGAAGCATTATTGAGGACTGCAGCTACAATACGAGGTAGAACAGGTTAGGAGGATCCTGTTGAGTCTCTTTCAGTTCATGCATATATTGCTAAGAGCCAACATAAAGCTTTCATGGAAGAAAAGAGACGAGAAAATTTTGATGATAATATAGAAGGAAATTCTTTTAAGAAGCAAACTCGAGGAGACAAGGCTCGAGAGGCAGCTTCACAAGAATTGCCTGTAAAAGATACCTCAACATCATTGGAAGAAAAAACAAGGAAGACAAAAGATAAGGGCAAATCAATTGCTTATAAGCTACTTTCTGACATTGAAGCGGCAACAAATTTGAAAGGGGTGTTGGAAGAACGTATATTAAATGCTAAGGTGGAATTCACATTGAAAGAAGTCTTGGAAATTGCAAAGAAGGAGTTTTATGATGTTATCATTGACAGCATTAAGCGAAAGAGGCAATTAATGGGTGAAACTGGAATGAGTCATGCTATTGATGCAAGAATATATAAAGATGAAGAAGAGGTTGATATTGGTTACAAGAAACCAACAAATGAAAAGAATGGGTATAATCAACGAGTACGTTTTGAAGATTATAGTGATAACAAAATGGAAACTTTGAGCCATTATACTCGAAAGCATTAGGGAAGGACAACTACTGAGGTATTGGTGAAAGTAGGAGATAAAGAAGAACCAATTGTTACTTTAGTCGACCATGGTTCTGAAATAAATCTCATGTCTAAAGATTTTTATAAGAAGCAAAAATGGCCAATTGATATAGAACATGGATGGGCAATTCGAACAGCTAATAACACACAGGGCGAATTATATGGAGTTTGTCTAAATGTCAAAATTTAGATTAGGGATGTTGAGACGGAGCAACATTTCTTTGTTCAAGATACAACATCTTATCCGTTGATTTTAGGACAACCTTATACTATGGCAACACGGATGGAAACAAAAGTACTTGACAATGGTTCTGCTTATGCAAGGGTACGTAGCGAGGATGGGAGGAAAGCTGTACAATTTCTAACAGTACTTCCTAACCATGAACGGAATCGAGATAGGTTGAGGGAGAAACCATTGCCAAAGATTGTTGAAGGATTTAAGGATTTTGGGGGGGTACCATTGTAAAGCGAGATTATAAAAGTACAAAAGAGGAGGTACTCTCGCAAGATGAAGGTGCCTTTGATGCGAGTTTTATCGGTATTTTGGAGAATGGAAATATTATGTTTAAGAAAGTTGATGATTTTAAAAGAAAAGAAAGAAAAAGATTATATGATATTCAAGGACAATTACGCAAGTTAGATATATTGCAAGATGATGAGAGGATTTTGGGTGTTTATGAAGAAAATGGACCGAAAGATTCATTGGAATTGATTACATCTATTGGGTTAGGGGATAATGATAAGATTGTTGAGATTCATTCAAGAGAGGTTTATACCATACTTGAATCTTTTCAAGCACCAGAAGTCACAGTAGAGACGAGATATAAAACGGTAGATAAGAAGGTAAAGCCTGTTGCCGGACCATTACCAGAAGATTCGAAGGAACAAATGGGAGAAGCATCAAAAGAAGCAAGTTTAAGAGATCCAATATATTAATATTAAAAGTGATTTAATATAATATATATTTTTAAGCATATAAAAAATAAATTATTTCTATAATTCAAAAATAGTAATATTCTCCAATAATAAAAATAGACATCCATAATTAGTGAGAAATTTTCACATTATGCATAATATAAACATTGAGCCATAGAAAAATTCTATATTACCAATCTAAAAAAATGAAAAAAACATACAAAATTAAATCAAGTAATATCCTAACTAAAAAAAATCCCCCAAAAAAACTTAGTTCATAACTAAGTTCAACAGTTGTCCAACACCTTAACAAAGCATGTGACTCTATAATTCAAGCCAAAGTGAATAAAAATCCTTATCAATAAACGCACACAATGGCATTCATAGTATTTTATCTGGCTAGATCCATTTCAATGGTTTATTTATTACTAATTTTTTTACCCTCCAACTATCTTCTTTCAAATATGTATACAATATGCATATATAATATATTATTTTTACTATTAACTATTATAGAACATTTTAAGATAGTTTTACATAATCAAAAAATATTAGGTGATAAAAAGAAAGAATTATTATATTTCACAAGATGGCAGTTGTTTCTTCTTTATTTTATGAAAAAACTTAATTACATTTTTTTTCTTGAGATAAAAATTTGTTGTATTAGATTGGTTGTATTGTTTAGATGCAAAAAACTTTGATGGCACCTATGTCAATGCTAAAGTTTTTTTATAAAAATATTATTTTAATATTTTTAAGCTATATATATATATATATATATATATATATATATAAATATATATTGGTATATTTTGATATTTTTATATCGTTTTTTTTTTTTGTTTTTTTTCCTAAAAAGATATTTTCTTAATACTTTAAATGAATGAATATAATATATATATATATATATATATATATATATATGAAATTATTCTTGTATTTTAAATAAAAAAAAATAACTTTAAAAAACCATTTTTATATAAATATAATTATATCATCTATTGACATTATATATCTATATAATTTAAAAGTTAAATAATTAAGTTCTTGAAAAAAATTATATGTATATTTGTGTGTGTACATATATATATATATATATATATATATATATACTATAATTCTTATCTTAAGCATCATTATATGAATAATAGTTTAAAATATAATTTTAACTTCTATAACATTTCTTATTATTATATTTAAAAGATAAAAATTTTCCATTTTTAATATTAGGTAATTCTTGCTGAAAGTTTGTATTTTTTTAATGATAAACAAATGATATTGCAACTAATAATTAAAGTGTAACATTATTAATAGAAGTTGGTATACACATCAATAAAGTTGTAATAATCATAATTTAAGATTTTTTGAGGATTTGATTGATGACCAAAGAGTACAAGGGTAATCATTATATTATATGAATAATTATTAAGAATTAAAAAAACTAATCAATTGAATTTAGAAGAATAAAAAATATAAATAAAATAATTTATATTTTCTTAATAAAATCTATACAATTTATTCTTTATTAATTTAATAAGATAAAAAATATATATATATTTTGAATATAGAAACCAATCTAGAATTTTATGTATATATGATTTTTATGTATTTTATGAATATAATATATATATATATATAATATATATATAATATATATATATAATATATATAATATATATATATAATATATATATATGATTGATTAAATAATAAAAATAAAAATTGTTACAATATTTTGTAAAAGCTTGGTATTAGTTACTATATATAGTATCATAACATAAGCCATTGTGTACCTCTTAAATTCTCTTTTGAAACTTATTAGCTTTTAAACTTAGAAAATTTTATCTACATAATATCATTTATGGTTTTTTTCAATCAATATATTAATTTTTTGAATATTGTTTAACTGGATATTCAATTATAAATTATTATCTTTGACATTGTCTTGCCATACACCATTAAACAATTGCATCGTTTACGATTTTTGTGATGTAAAATAAAGACAATAGAACTAAATTATATCAAATATTTCATTACACATATTCCCTGGTACGAATGGTAACAAGAAAATATAAAATTATAGCAAAGATTAATAATACATTACAGCCACATTCAAAATATACACTCCATTCACAATTTTTATTCCCCCACAACAAAATTTGACATAAGCAAATTCATCTAAACATAATACAGTAAACAAAGTCTTGTGAACCAAGTCTAAAGCATACAGAACACCGACACGAGAATCGTCGCAGCAAACTGCGTTCTGCCAAACAAAATATCCACGATTAGAATTTTACCTCGGCGGATAAGAAAGCAAAACCGTCCGTGACTTGAAGGGCTGAAGGTCGAAGAGTTGTAGATGGGCGATGGCGGTTGAAGGGATTGTGGCCACGAGGGGTATCGGAGGCGCATACTCGGACACGCCCCGTCCACCTCACTCGCCCTCACACTTGTGGCCACCCTCGGCCCACTGCTCTGCCGCGTCCGATCCTGCGCATTTTATATGGGTCGGAGAATTGCAGTGCTGCGAACGAATATGACCGATCCAACTGTTTTTTTATTGAATCCAACAGGTTTGCACCTCGAGTGGAATCTGTAGTTGAGTGAATCTCAAGTTGGGGCCCTTTTGTTGCGAGTGGTGAATTGTGGGAGGTGCTGTAGGGAACACTGTGATGGCGTCTGCAACGTGCTCTCTGTGTGGAGCGGGCGCACTGGCTGCCTCTTCCTATGGCATTGAAGGGTTGAAACCGCAGTCGTGTGAGACGTCGGAGCGAAGTGGGTCTCGTAGGTGCGTTGCGGTGCGCGCGGCTGCGAAGGGCAAGCCTGGGAAGGGAGGCGAAGACAAAGAAGACAAGAAGTCATTGTTTACTAGTCTTACGGATGCGTTGGATTTCGCGGCGGTGAGGTCGGAGAAAGACGCTGAGCTTCTTCAGGACGCGCGGCAAGCCACCAAATCCGGCGAGAAAATGTCCCGCGAACAAGTCAGTGATGCGTATCTTTTCTATGCTTGAATGTAGACCCCTAACTGTGTGAATCTGCGTGGTCGTGTGTGGTGAATCGCTGTAATTGTCGGAATGAATATGTATCCTTCTCTCAGTCTGCTTGTTTAGCTGTGAGGTTGGGGGTGAGGTTAAAAGCTGCTGGGTTCCGGAGCGCTCTCACGACCTATCCTGTGGGATGGGAATAGAGAGTATAATTGCGATTGGCGCGCTCAATTCTACGTCTCTGATTCCCAATCGAATTAGCTGTCGTCCGATTTCCTTTGAGGCACGCAATTACTGAAATTACACCATGTTGCAAACTCTACAATATGTGATACTCTGTCCTCGTACTACGACCTTACCGCGGAGTAGAGCTTAGTAACTTGATACCGATCGACGGGAGGTGCGCTGAATTGAAACTTTTCGTGTTGCTTCAGTACGGAGCATTGAGGCGCAAAATTGGAGGAACTTATGGAGACTTTTTCAAAGGCTACGTAGAAGGTATGCACAATTTTCAGAATTTTGTTGGAATTGATAGAAGTGCAACCTAGGTATCAAACTGCATGCAGTTGTTTGTGCCATGGCCCTTTCTGGGTTGGTAAATAACTCCAACAGTCACAGTAGCGTATGTTACAATAATATCATATCCGATTACTCAACGATTGAACGACTCGTTTCATACCTACAATTGCCCGATTGACTGCTGCAGTTGATGGGGCGTACGTGGACGAAGGTTGGGTCGACAAAACCTGCAAATACTGCAAGAAGGACACGAAAGGTGCTCCCCGAACTAAGGACTCAAGTGGACGCTACGCACACGTTGCCTGCGCCGAAAATGCTCCCAAGGGAAATTTCTTTTCAAGGCTCTTCGGCCAGTAGCTGATGCCGGTCTCAAGCTATATTCGATTCCACCATTGCATGACGCCACACTCTTTCTCACTCCGAAATGATTCATTCAATTGCTCGAGGCAGTCATTTGGTATATAATTGGAACAATTTAGAATGACATACCTGACATTCTTCGTTTGATCATAAAGTATCTCGTCATCTCAGAGCGTAGTTAGTTTCGAATTGACTTTTTGTATCATATCCAACAGTTATAGTACTAATTTGAGTGATCATCTCAAGCAATTTTTTTATTCCTCTATCCGTTTGTTGCTTGCACTCAATGAACTTGAGCCCTGTTGCTGTTTCTGTTTCTGTTTCTGACAAACACTAAAAGAAGCAGTCTCATGATTCACAGAAAATCTGAAATAAGCGTGTGAGCTTGCGGACTTTTCAACGTCAACAACACCGAATTCCCTCACAGGGTTTCACGTCCAAAGAAGTTATAACTCCGTTGCTGGATGATTGAATCAAAGTGGAGTGAAAGACTTGAGAGACAAAAATCAGTTCACACAATCGCCGTACATCTGATTTGATGCACACACCTTTTCTCACGGTCTTGCGGTGAAGTCAGGTTCGTAACAACCGTCAAACAGCTGGAAATTCCTTTGATCTTCGTATTTGGGATGTTCAAAAATCCCCCACATACACCTGATGCTGTCATAAGTAACAAGTACATTTTGTTCATTATTCACCTTAAATGTAATCTTTCCATCCACACCAGTACATTCATATGGAAGCAACGCTTCGTCTTCGGAGGGGAAAAGTCGCAGATACAGCAGACTGGGCATCACTCCACCCGGCACCTTCTTATATTTGCCTGTTGGCATTCCGTCAGGGTGCAATTCAACCTCTACAATCCAGATTATGGTAGGAATTGTGGCGTATCGTGTTACTGCGAACACTTGAGTCGGCCCTGCCTGTAACACCTTGGGAGGCTGCACTTCCCGGCCCGCCATGTAGTCCAATTTGAAGTCGAAACACATGCACTGTCTTTTGCTGTCACTAATGTTAAAGTAGTAGATTGCAGGTATGTCAATATCCTCATCATTTATCCTCTCTAAAATCTTAACGCCCCCGAAGTAGACGCCGAAGTTGACGACGGCCATCCCTGATCGACCACATTCGTGATACGGAATCGGTCGAGCTTTCTCTATGGAGTTCGCATGGACAAAGCACTGCTTCTCTGAGGAATACACAACTACGCACATGATGTCTGCAATTTTACCTTTCTTTCTCATGGTATCCCAACCGGCGATCACCAGATGATACTTCTTGCGGCTCAAGTCGCTAAACACGAACTTCGCAATTTTGCCGTGGACTCTGCGTTTAGGGATAGGTGGCAGGAGAACAAATTCACGAGTGAGAGGGTTAGCAACGCACACAATAGATTGTCCCCCGCTTTGCTTTCTCGCCTTGCCGTCTTTCCAGAATTTATCATTAGGAACTGCTGGTCGTCCCCAGAGCGTAATAGGCATTGCCCCCGGCTGTTCACCTCCGTCCAAAACTAACAAACCTAGCATCAAAAAGTGGGCGGCTCAGCATCCGAGGCAATGCAGGGAGTCACACGATTCATACCCTACCCTTTCGTGAATGAAGGGCCTCACATGCAACAGCTTTCTAGCCAAGTATTGATCTGCATATCGTGCTCTTGAAATCTCATGTATCCTCCTTGTCGAGTGTCTTACACCCATGAAATCATTCAGATAATCCTAAAACTAATTACGGCAACGACATTGTACGAGTGTGTTGCAGATCCGCGGATTGTGAGAACGTCACCATTGTGATAGCTGCAGAGAGGAGCATGCAATGATGGATACCTAGGTAAGAACGAAAAAGTGCACGAAAACAAGGAGAAGATAGTCTAGGTGATCAGAAGTTACCGGCTGAGCCAGCGATGACCCTATCACAACCCGGAGGAAGGAAGTTCAAAGGCGGAAGAGCGATCCAGCTATGGGTCCCTATGTACTTGTAGTCAGAGATTCCTGGTTCCAAGCAGACGACATAATACAATTTGGTGCCTGTCTCTAGAAGGCACGGCTGGTAGCGGTAGTAAGCCTTCTGGGTATCGTCCTTGAAGTTGAGAGGAGACCATTGCCTGAGCCACAAGTTCTTGGAAACATCTTCTGGCGTTGCAGGAAACTTGCAGGGCGATGATATACTACCCCATGCTGATTCTAATTGAAAAACGGGGCATGTCTGAACGCTTCTGTTTTTAGTTAGGTTAGTCACGAACTCTGCAATTCCTACATTGAATTGCTTGAGCTAGAACCCCACATCTCAGTTCACTTCTCATCTTGTTTGCAACAAGCAGACTTGGCAAATCGGACAAGAGAAGTGAATGAAGCGTACCCCTAGAAGATGACCAAGATTTTCCGCTGACAAGAGATCCCTTTGCTTAGCATCGAGAATTATCTCAAAGATATTTTCTTCACTGTCATCCTCGCAAGGATCGGATCCCGACGGTTCTCCCTTCTCGTCATCCATCGTGATGGCTAGGTCGCACTTCAAGCGAATAAAATCAGACTATCAAAGCAATATGATGGACCAGGACCATCGCTATCCGCACAATTGCTCGTCATGTCGGAATGTGGGTGCCCAGGGATCAAAATTTCTTTGGAATCTGTTCTGGAGTAAAGATCTCAACATTCCATTACTGAATCTGTCTTAGCTCCACGTTCAGTAAGCGTTGTGGACGAAGAGGCGTAAGTATTGTCTGGTTCTGCTCCAGATATTGTATCGGTCTACCCCCAAATGATATGCTAATAAGGAAACAGCACGAAGGATTCAATAAGACGGATCAAGCGCCACAACTTTTCGCAACTGGTGAATAGGTCGGGAAGATCATAGCAAGGCGGCGTCTTCGCCGCCATTGTGCGACTTTGGTCACCACCGACGCAGGGGGATTACACCGGATTCACACCGGACCCAAACTTTGGGTGCCAATGTATCATGCTCACAATAGAATCCATAAAAGCGTCAATATATGACGAGATTTAAATATAAGGATTTGAATTCTTTATATTTTTATATTTTTATTATAATTATTAATATTTTCTTCCACTATGAACACAGTCTAGGCTTACATTCAAATACTATTGTCCAAACATTAATAAAATAAAATAAAGAGTATCCTCACTTCTTTTTCTTTTTTTTTAATGTACACTCATGAAAACTACCCGCAAGAGGGACACACACCTTGATAGACATTAAAAAACGAAGCAGGGGAAATGCAGCATGAAACCTGACGTAGACAGTTAATTTTATTTTTTATTTTACTTGCACATAAACTTAATCTTAACCATGAATCCATCCTTGCAACAATCTCGTGGCAATCAAAGATTGACCTAATTCTGTGAGAGCTTGGGAAATAGCTCCAACAGCACTTTCGATAATTTGAAAATTCCAATCACGCGCGACCTCGTTGCATCCGCTCTGCCCTCGCAGCGAGCCACTTTCTGATGTCATTCAACACCGCGGCGCTAGTCTCATCGCTCTCTCCTTGAACCAGCAGATGATATGCACCGTCTTAAGGCTTCAAGGTTCGGTCAGGGGTGGCGGCCATCTCAAACAACGCCTGGTTGCCTTCAGGAGCCGTGATTTCATCGGCAGTGCCACGCAGGGTGAGGAAGGGGGCATTGAATTTGTCCATTCTCATGCAGATGTCGTCGACCATTCTGGAGAGCTCAAGCATCGTGCCAACGCGGGGCTTGCCTGGACTTTTTCACAACAGGAACGTCCAGTAAGAAAGAGAGTGCTAGGAAACCATGTTCTCCAACATGGGCGAAGAGATGGGAGCTTGTATCGTCACACAGCAGATGGTCAACCCAAAACCCTAGCCGCATCACATTCTTGCAGAAAGAGAAGGTTGCATGTCTGCAAGTTGAATCTACCTGGTGCGACATCTGTGGAATATAGTAAAAGTGGACTGACTACCTGTGTATCGTCGTGGATTGCGGAAGATTGTTGCTCCTTTGATGGGATCACCGACTACTCTCTTGCCCTTGAATCTATCGGGAAAGAGGGCCCAAGTGTCCACGAAGCGCCGTAGAAGTGAGAAACCTATAATTTCTAGACGTGTTGGTCTCATTAGATCAGGCATCTTGAACAAAGGCGATGCAAATATGAAGCCATCCCATCCCTTGGGATCTTGAAAGTGCATCAGAAATGTGACACCTCCTCCCATGGATTCACCAAACAAAAATGTAGGGAGCCCCTTGTTAACATCACTGTCCCGCATTTCCTTGAAAAATGTTAACGAAGCTGCAGCCATCTGTGGGCCAGCCACACAGAAGAGGTTACTGTTCATATACGACGCACGTAATCAAGGCTGCGTCATAAGCATTCAAAAATTAGGAAAACTTGAAATCAAACAACTCACTTTTACAACCAGCAGGACAAATTCTTCTGCACAGGATTCTAAATTCCTGATCACATAACAAGCTGATATCATTTACAGCTAGATGATAGGCACGAAGAACTTATGGACAATCCTCAGTTTCAGACGAAGAGCTCATCTCATAATTGACTGATTTCAAACATGGGAGTTGTAGACAGGTGCTGCGTAACAGCTTCTAGAATTTAAGTGCTGGGGTTCAGGAAAGAGCAAGCACTGTGGGTACCTTCTCTACGTCCGTGATATAACCCAAAATACCATCAGACCGACCATGGCCAAGCATGTCCGCACAATACACTGCATGACCCCATTTGACCGCCTCCAAGGCTAATATTTGAAACGTCCAACTCGTGTCGCTGCCGTAGCCATGTGTCATGCACAAAATGCCCTTCGGCTGCAGCTCAATAGGCAAAAACTCCTGTGTGAAGATCGTTCCATGTGGCGTCTTGAAGAAGTCATTCTTATTCCTCATCCCCTGCGACGCGTAGAACTCATCCTCAGGGGTATCACCCCAGAAATTCAGCAGGTCAACTTTCAACGACATTCTGTCGCTGAGTCCGCCGAGCCACTCGCAGACACAACACACAACATCAATTTCCAGCAACGGACCCTCAATCGACACTTAAAACACTCACCCTCAACAATAAACCCCACAGCGCCCCTAATCTCTCGGCCCCACTACAACTCGCATGATCCTGTCCAAAATTATCCGCTGTTGCACGCGAGGATTTCACCGATAGCCAGGACTAAACCCAAAATCCTTAAACGATGACCACTTCAATGCGATGTTGAAATTACTTGGAATATTGCCAAAATAAAATAACGAAGCCCACACTACTGATATCTTTCTGCGACGAAGTAGGCAAGCATAATTTCAATGGTACATGCCTCTTGGTGTGTCATGCAGGAGGAATTGGCTAGTTGGTGACAGGCATCAATTAGAATCCAGCGCAGCGAATGGGACTTCCGATCGGAACCACCGACGTCGCAGTTCAAGCATCGACGGCGCATGGGAGGGACGTGATCGCAATCGAGGCATTGAATTGGATCCCGTGTAAACGCCACCCCACACAAACCACTTCGAGCTTTTGTGATTTTGTGATTTTTAAAGTTTGCTCAGACATTATATACCAAGAAGCCCATTTTAAAAACCCGCTTTGATAGACAAATTTGAAAAGTTCATGTCACAAATTACATAAAAAAAAAAGACTGGTACAAGATAAAACTCTTCTTTGTAGGTCTTGCTTTTTGAACATAGCATAAAATGAAACGAGGATAGAAAATGGACAAAATTTTATTTCATTTTATTACGAATCCACAAGTATCTACTCATTTCTTTATTCTAGAAATTACGAAATATAAATACTACTTTATTTTTATTTTATCACTTTTCTTTTAATACATATTTTCTAGATTTATGCATCTCTTTTTAGTTCATGTCTTTGACAGATTGATAAGAGTACAATTACAGTATCAGAGCTTTATCTTGTCTTGATTAAGAATAGATTATTCCTTTTTCATGATAAGACATAAGTATATTAGAAGTTACGGATTACTCTCTTCTAAACTAATATTATTCTTAGTATTCTCTTTGTCCTCAAGTCCTTTCTTCTACTTGTCTTAAGTGAGATTAGATATTTTTTTGAGTATTATTATGGCAGAGTTTGTTAAAATGAAGAATGCAACGGCACAAATGCAAGAGCAATTGAAGGAGTTGATACTTGTGATGCATCAACTTAGCTTACCACTACAAGGATCAACAAGAATAGCAGGAAGTGAGGATATAGAGATGATTAGAACTGCTTCAATATCTACACCAAATCATGTCCTTCTATCCATGGTCGAACATCCTTCAAGTGTTAGAGAATGAAGAGTTGCCCTGTCTGAGAAGTTTGATGATATGAGATCCAAATTTCAAGGATTTATCAATCAAGTACAAGTTATGATTGAACTTCAATCTCAAAGTTATCCAACTCCAGGATCAAAAGTTAGATTTATTAGTATACTTCTTTCAAGTTCAACACTATTATGATTTTCATCTTTTCTTGAACAATAAGATCCAATATTGAATAATTTAGAGGCATTTTTGGCAAAATTTTGGTCCATGTATGAAAAACATGATGCAACTCGTGTTACAACTAATAAGATCCATATTTTGCGACAAGACAATCAATCTATAATATTATATATTTCACAGTTTTGATAACTTGTAATTAATATCAAGTGGGATGATGCTGCACTTATTAGCCAATTTCTCTATAGATTATAATATGAAGTAAAGAAATTGATGCTCAACTTACTTGATCCTCAAACATTGAGTCAAGCAATTTACTATGTTATGAAATACGACAATAGACTTTTTAAATTTTAATCTGAGAGTTGTACAATGAGCCTTAACATTACTACAATTCGATGGCAATACCAACATCTCCTCAACACATACATTCAGAAGTCAAGGATATGTAAATTGATGTGGTACATTTTAAATTTCTTATCAAGCAAAAAAAGACTTGTTGCCATCAAGAAGGATTGTACTTATATTATAGAGAACCTAAATATACTGCCCAATATTGTCCAAAGAAGCAATAAAATCACAAAATGAGGAGCACATTTGTCTAAAAATACAATGTGTTGAAAAACAAATTTGTCCAGCTACAATAGGGCCTGTATGGCTGGAATCTTGTAAAATTTGTAATGAAGGTCCTATCCTCTTTTTAGAATCATTTTCTTATTTTATAATAGATATGTATTTATTAGGACTTAATAATTATAAAGCCTCTGCCTTAATAGATTCAAGAGCCTCAACTTATTTTTTAGATGTAGAATTTGTTAAAAGTTATAAAATACCGTTACTATAAAAAATCAAACTTATTCATGTAGAAGTCATAGATGATCGTCTGTTGTCTTATGGAGATGTCACTCATAAAATACTTCCTATAGATGTAGCAATAAATGATAATAATAATTGTGTAATCTTTAATATAATTAGATCTCTCTCTAATTTAGTTATTTTAGGTTTATCATGATTAGAAAAGTATAATCCTTATATTGATTGGATTTCTCATAGCCTTGACTTTTTTAAAAGCATAATTAAGAGTGAAATTAATCTAGTAGAAAATCATAAGTCTAGTACAATTAAACCTATGTTTGTAAGTGCAAGAGCTTTCTTGCATATTACAAAAGAAGTATCACCTTCTATCATTTATGCCACACCTATTTCTAATGATGCAAAGACTTCAAGTAGCATTCTCATCTAATATCAAGAATTTCAAGATGTATTTGAAAAGTAGAATGCGGATACTCTTCCAAAACATTGTTCTTATGACTACTCAATTGACCTTTAAGAAGGAACACAACCGCCATTTGGACCAATCTTTAGTTTATCACAAAATGAATTAGCTGAATCCAAGGAATATATTGAAGAAAATTTAGCTAAGAATTTCATATGCCATTCTAAATCACCAATAGGAGCTTCAATCTTATTTATGAAGAAGAAAGATAGATCATTGCAGATGTATGTTGATTATCGAGGACTCAACAAGATCACCATCAAGAATATATATCCTTTATTTTTAATATCTGAACTTATTGATTAACTGAATCAAACTAATATCTACACAAAAATAGACCTACAAGGAGCATACAATCTAATATATATTAAAGAAAGAGATGAATAGAAGACTATATTTTGAACTAGGTATAGACATTTTGAATACCATGTCATGCCTTTTGGACTTACAAATGCATCGGCAACTTTTCAACATCTAATGAATGATGTTTTTTGAGAGTTTTTAGAAGATTTTATTGTCTGTTATTTGGATGACATCTTGATCTATTCTAAGAACACAGATAAACGTGAATCTCATATTTGTTGTGTATTACAAAAATTAAGAGATGGAGGACTCTATGCGAAGATAGAAAAGTATATATTCTACACTACTCAAGTCAACTTCTTAGGATACATCATTTTAAATGATGGACTTATGATGGATCCTAAGAAAGTTCAAACAATTATGAATAGGAAGATTTTAAAAACAGTAAAAGATGTCCAATATTTTTTAGGCTTTACCAATTATTATGAGATCTTCATCAAAGACTTCTCTCAAATTGCACCTCCACTTATACATTTGACTTGCAAAGACAAATTTGAGTGGAACAAAGAAGCTGAAGCATCTTTTGAAACTTTGAAGTCAATCTTTATTTTTGCACCAATCTTGTTTTGCATCAACTTTTTTAAGGCATTTTTTATGAAAATAGATGCATTAGACTTTGCTTTGAGTATTGTATTATTACAAATGGGAGCAAATGATAAACTTCACTCAATAGCTTTTCATTCCAAAAATATTTCAGTAGCTAAAATTAACTATGAAATCCACGACAAAGAGCTTCTTAAAATTATGGATTCATTTAAAAAATGGCATCATTATTTAGAAGGCACTTTTAATCCAATCACCATTGTTGTATTGCATGGTTTTCTATCTAAGAATACACTGCATACCTATTTGTAGAGAATTTAGTTTTAACTTATTGGCTAAGCTCCAATAAGTTATTTAATCTTAAAAGTAGAAGACAAATAAATACTACAATATCAAAAAGATATTGTACTAATAAATCTTTTTATATTTAAGAAGGTTTGTACATAAGGCTTTCTAAAATATCTAAAATTTTCTAATATTCTTGGCTATACAAAATCATAGTTAATCATTTTGTGGTAAATTAGGTTTTCAATAACTTCATAGGAAATCCACAATCTCCTCTCAAAAGCTCATATTTATACAAAAATTCAACCATAGCTCCATATATCCATCTTCAATATATATATAAAGTCTTGGCTCCCAAAATACTCCTTTATTTTGTCTAAAATATTCAAGTTATAACAAAATTCCTTCAAAATATAATATTTCTACAAAAGATTTTTTCTTTCTAAACTTTAGAAATTCATATCTCTTGATCCAACTATTCAGATTTTGCCAAGTTCATGGATATGATAGAATTCACCTTTAAACTTTATTTTACAAAAATTCAATTATAAATTCGCTACTGATCATCTGGCATCTTAAAAATCCTAACAAGTGCTCCAACACCCTAATTCACAAGCACCTAAGTACTATTTTCTTTATATCTCACAAATCCAAAATTTAAATGTCACAAAACTTTAGTATAAATTTTAGCAACATAAAAACACACATTTTTAGAAATTCTTAGCCAAAATCTTGTCAAATTGTACAAGCTATAGCTCAAAAATCTACTACTAGTAATTCGAGTCACTTACTATCATTAGATTTACAAGTACTGGCTTTAACCTCCAATATCTCCTTTATTCAAACTTGAAATCCATCAACAATATGCCAAAACTGTAGCCAAGAGAGTGCTCTTTGCAATCCTAGTCGTCGATCTTCTGTTGCTTTTTGTATGCGTTTGTTATATCCAAAAGAGTGACAGTAGGTACATAATCAACACCTTAACCTTTGAGCGCCTATATCTCCTTCATAAAAACTCTAAATGACTGAAAATTTTCACCAAAATCATAGCCAAAAACCTAAATTTTTTGATCTTAGCCTCCAAAGCTCAAATACCTTTGAAAAACTAACCCTAATTTCTAATATGGTCTTCGCAGCCTCCTTGAAGTCCATTGGTCATGATTTTTGACCAATAGGAATGGAGATTTTTATCATCCATCTCCATTCATCTATATGGATGCCCTAACTTCTCTTTTTTGCTACCAAGACCCTTTTTCAATCTTTTTTCTTATAATATTTATATAATATATGCTCTAAATACCAAATAAAAGAAACAAAATAAGACTTTAAAGATCACCAATATCTAATAAAGGTGATTCTAAATATTTAAAAGTTACTACTAATAAGATCAACTTCAAAGTGACTATATAAAGAAAATAAAGTTATATAAATTCTAATAGAAATCTTTTTAAATTATCTCTTTT